TCTTGTCAGCCTTCCCGCGCCTAATAAAACCCCGTTTGTCCGTATTTACGGCTCCGATCTCCTGCCTTCCGGCTCGCTTGCCAGCGATCCTGACACATATGGTACTGTACTGTACCTCAAGCTGACAAACCACTGAAGCCATGCAATGTTTTCACAAGCATCACAAAGTAGTGTTATTATTCATTATTATGAAGCATTTGTAGCAGTCTATTTGTCAGTACGAGTTGTCTGTAAGTCAGATGTTCTTAACCGAGGGACTACCTTATTTAATTCTCTTTATTGATATTATTAATTTGGACTTCAAGCTAAATAATGTTAATAAATTTTACCATGTGGTGAGTTGGAGGGCCCCATGGAGTTTTTTTTGCCTAGGGCCCCCATAGTTCCTAACATTGCTTCTGCCCAAGCCATCTGCCCCCTGTGTATCTGCACATTCAAGTTCGGTATATTATTACACTAAATTTTAGACTGATACTGTGTGTCAGGGCTTGTTGCTACGCTAAATGATGGGTAAACTATCTCTGGAGAGACATGAGTGATGAGTGAAACATCATGACGACCGACAGCAGCCGGGTCAGACAGGATCAGGAACGCTGAGACCGCCTCACCTACAAACAGGCAGGGGCAAACACATCTATCACAGGATGTCTCCTCTACCCAGACACTAGCCGGACTACCAACAGCGAGTGCGTTATCTCTGACGGATGATAGCAGGCTAATTAATGAGGCATCCAGCTTGGATCCTCGCACGTCACCGGAGGGGTTGTGAGCCGCTCAGTCCTGTGTGAGAAAAAGCAACTGGAATCACACATGCCAAATGAAAATATCCTGAATCCCGAATGCCTTGCCAAATGTACTCCACCATTCAAAGTTTAAAAAAAAATCAAAACACTTAAAGCAAAAATCCCCAATGTTAAACAAAGTACTGTTTGAAGGCTGCACAATGTACAATGCTAGATATTTCCATGACACCAAGATACCTTTTTGGGAGATGCATATGCAGTCATGACTTGTGTTTAGTTCTTCCATATTCAAACAAACCTTTGGTACAAAGCGACCGATTACCATTTCCAGTCAGTATAATGCACAAAAAGAGGCATCTAAGGTTATGAGTAAGTCCAGAGAATCATACAACACTATATGTCAAGGGCTTGAGATTTCAGGGCAGGATAGGACAGCCGAGTGACTGGAATGGCTGCTTTTCTGTATGAATGCCAGGACCTCAAGAAAAATTTAAGAATTATGTGCATAAGTTCAATAAGATTAGCCGCAAGCAGGTAAGTGGTTATTTGGATTATGATGAGATGTGAGGAAAGTGTACCCCACAGGTCTGACATAGGATGCATTTGTGTGGTTGGTTTCTACATAAAATTACTCATCCACACACACATCAAGATGACAGATAGTGTGAGAGTTTCTAACAATCGTTACCACAGTAATAGTAGCAGCTAACTGTCCACTCATATGCAAGCTTATTTCCACATTATGAGATATATTGGACAAAAAATGTACATTTCAAAGAAAGCAACCAGACATGACTGTTCTGTATACATGCCTGCCATGTAGAAAAGGCAAAGAGGTTATTAGATGCTGAATGTTTTCTGTTAATCACAGGTCTGAATCTCAAGGACCCTGACAGAATTCCTTAACCAACCATCCATCCATCCATCCATTACCATCCACTTATCCGGGGTTCGGGTCACGGGGGTAGCAACTTCAGGATAGATACCCAGACCTCCCTCTCCTGAGCTATCTCTACCAGCTTTTCGGGGGGATGCCGAAGCGTTCCCAGGCCAACTGAGAGATATAATCTCTCCAACACGTCCTGGGTGTGCCCTGGGGCCTCCTCTCTGTAGGACGTGCACGGAAAACCTCTCCGGGTAGCCGCTCAGGAGGCATCCGCACCAGATGTCCAAACCACCTCAACTGGATCTTTTTGATGTGGAGAAGCAGTGGTTCTACTCTGAGACTCTCCCGGATATCTGAACTTCTCACCCTATCTCTAAAGAAGAGCCCAGACACCCTGCAGAGAAATCTCATTTCATCCGCCTGTATCCCTGATCTCATTCTTTCGGTCATTACCCATAGCACATGACCATGGGTGAGGGTAGGGACGAAGATGGACCAATAGATCGAGAGCTTTGCTTTCCGGCTCGATTGTTTCTTAGCCAGCCCTAGTTAGTTCTTGTTTTTTCAGCCAGCCTTGGTTTTAACCCTTCATGGTCCCTTTGTTTCTTGTATTGGTTTAGTTTATTGAAAAAAGAAAACTCCTTCTTGTTACCAACCTGCACTGTGGATCATCCTTCCGTTATGCCATGCCTTAACAACTATAATCCCAATTGTGACTGTACTCTGAATGACACCCTTTATGAAATCCCAACTTAAGCATCATGCCTTGAAATCACTACTTTATCCTTGTCTTCCAGCATTTTGTTTCCATTATTAACAACAGAAAATAGAACCATACATAAAAACCCGTAAACTGAAGAAGAACAGGTTAACAGAGGATCACCATTTCTTCAAACATACTACAGGCAGATGAGTACCTCTGTAGTGAATTGAATGGCAATAATGCAAATAAAACATAAAATTCTGTCACATGGGTGTAGGTTCAACCAGAGTGAATTCTGATTGATTGTGAGCATTGACACAGTGATTATAAACATTAATAATACACTATTGGTTGTTATGCAGGAATATATTAAACACCAGCATTTGGCAGTAAGCAGACATGTAAACATTGGCTTAGAATTTGGAAACATATTAGCTGTGGATAAGACAATGGTTAGAAACTTACGACCTATAAATAAACTATAAAACCTTTCATGCCCAGGCAAGAACTTTGAAGTATACTTAACTAATCGGGCAGAAAGAAAACCAAAAATGTTTAGCCTTCCAGTGACAGCTAATATAGTTTATGATTAGTTCCAATGGCTAGCAAGCCTTGGGTAATTATCATTTGTCTAATAATAAGTAACAGAAAAAAATAAAATAAAGGAGGCTGAGTGTGAGGTAGTAAACTTACACTGGTGGAAAAGGCTCAGCATGCACTGCCACTATATTGGCTTTGGCATCTACCACCAAAGAAAATCTTTTCCTGTCTCCTACTATTGTTGTGATGGTTAGCCTAGCATGAAACAGCAAATCCAGTTTAATGTTTTAATTGCCATTTGCACAAGTACAGGTACATTGGAATGCTTCCCTTTGCTGACCCACCTTGCACTCCATAGCTAAGGGGTCACAGCACAGGGTCAGATAACGTGCAGCACCCCTGGAGTTGGGGGGTTAAGGGCCTTACTCAAGGACCCACGCACATGTGACAGTTCTGCTGAGGGCAGGGCTCAAACTAGCAATCTTCAGATCACATGCATAGAGATTTAATCACTGAGCCACTCGCCGCCCAGGCCCTGGTTATAAAGTTTTGCTAGGATTTCACAGTATTTGTGGCATTGTTCCATCACCTCGGGAGCATATTCTTCATATATGCCGACAGGGCAGCCTCAATACTGTAGTTTACCTCTCTTGGCTTGCGTCTCCTGAATGTTCTTTTCCATCTGCTGGTTCCTGGGCACTCGGATGAAAATAGCCCTTGGCCTCTCTCCAGGTTTGGGTTTAGCCATAGAGAGAGCAAAACATTATCATCCATGACATCCACCAGCAATCCTGCAAAGAAAGTTGTGGGATGAGGGTCCTCAATAGATTCCAGTAGGCTAACTATTCTGATATTGTTGCAGAGGGCACAGGACTCAAGGTCTGTAACTTTAGTTAACATTTAGCCATTTGCCATTGGCAGAGTTGAAAAAGTACATTTAAATTCCATAGCAAGTGCCTTATCATGCTCCACCAGGAGGAAGCCATGCAGAGTTTGTTGGCGATAGCCTACGTGGTTATAGCAGTTACAGTATGTCTTATCTGGCTTGTTTATTCAGTTTGAAGGCCATGAGTTTATAGTTTGTTGTTTATAAAGATTAATGTTTATTCAATGGCAAAATGTAATGGAGCTAAAGGTTTTTTAAAAGCAAGAATGTAAAAAATATGGGAATGAGACTCAAACGCATGTTTACCCCATCTTGCAAACAAATCAGAAAAGCCTTATAGAAAGCTTTCACTGTGAAATATGTCAGCAAATGAACAGTACAAGCTAAAGTGAAATCTTCTCAGAGACACGTAATTTAAATAGCATCTGTATACTGAGTAGCCTCAGAGTGCCAGATGTGCATTTCGGAGCAATCTAACCACCCAGCTGCCCCCTAGAGGCGTGTGTGAAAACACCATGTGTGTGGCCCATGACCAGGGGAAGCAGGATTGGGTTTTATCTCTATTTGCAGTGAGGGTAAGCTGACAGGCTCAGAGTCTCACAGGCTGCTGCAGCATGCAGGAGCTATTAGCCAGTGCACTTTGGACAAAGTGAGCGTAGCAGCCTGCAGGGCTTAAATGGGCACGCTTTGGCCCCAGACTCCATACGGTGAAGATGAAACTGGTCTGTGGACTGATACTTCTCCTGGCACTCTGTAGCAAGGCCCACAGCAATGAGGGAGCCCTGTGGGGACAGAGCAGTGAGAGGGAGGATTTTATGCTGCTCGCTGGTCCCCTGACCAATGGCTTCACCAAGGACTCGAGCTGGTGGAGGACCAATGGTCAGACCTTGTCGCCAAGAAGCTGTGGAGAGGATTTGGATGTCTTCAACTGTGAGCATCCCCTTCCTCTTGAAATTTCAGAGTATTTCCAGTACCTGCATTCCAGAGGTGTGACCCATTTTAAAGTGCCTTTGGTCCAGGCGGCTCTCCTGCCTAGGAAGGACCCCGAGCAGGCCAGCCAGGATGCCGTTCAGTGCTACCGAATGCTGTTGCAGAGGCTGACTGCAGCAAACCTTACACCCCTGTTGGTGCTGAGCGAAACAGGGACGGCGGGCCAGGGCAACCACAATGAAGCTGGAGGTTTCCAGCGCTTTGCCCAGTTCACCTTCTTCGTGTTTGGGGACTTTGCTGACACCTGGGTCACGTCAGGCTATGCCGGGGGTTCTCAGGATGACCTTAGCCGTCACTGGGCCGTGCATCAAGCCTACCACAACCTCTACCCAGGTAAGAAGTACCAGAGCCAGTTGACGGACATACACTGTGCACCAAAGGAGGTTCTTTTAAATCCAGTATGATTTAAACTGTTCTGGATATTTTCCTGTGACAGTTAACAGATAAAATTCTGCCATAATTTCGAAGTGTCATGAGTTCATTCATATCCTGATATAATTTTTAAAATTGAGAAAACATTAATTAATTAAAGAAGTTATCCCTATGGTATAGCAGCACCCATTAGATGTGATTATATTGATATTAGCAGGGATGGACATAACTGGTACGCAAGTATGTATTCACCTCTGAAAACGATACGTGCAACAATAGATTGTGGCAACAGTGTAAATGTGTACTTATTTTATGTGCATTTGCTCTGATATGACAACAAAATATTCATTTTAATCTTTACATGCTAACTCTACTTCATTTGTGGTATACAAGTTAAAATGCAAGGTTAAAATGCAAGGCTTTTATAAGAAATCGGTTGTTGCACGT